AAGCCACTTAGGATTTCTGAGAATTCGTTTCCTTTGGGGCCAAGGACTCTTGTGACCTGGGGGACTTATAGGCAGGGGTCTCTTGCGATGCAGGGAGCTGCAGACACGCCTGGCAGAGGTGAGTGGAGTCTTCATCAGTAGACAGAAGGTAACTGCAGCTTATTGGATGCCACATTTGGGGATTTATGGGAGCACGAAGTCACTGGATGAAGTGAGACTCTTTCAAAAGTGGGACTGGTGGAGCAGTGAGGTAAGAAAGAGCCAGGGGGAAGGAACCATCACTTACTCCGGTTCTTTTTTTGAATCAAGGCCTGTGCCAGGTGCTTACCTCTTGATAGCAACTAGGTTGGTTACATTAGGATTCCCATTTACAAATTAAGAAAGTGAGGTAATGAAAGGTAAGCAGTTCACCTAAGCAGCTAATACAGGTAGAGACCAAATTAAGAAGGGAATTCTAGGGGCACCTGGGTGGTTTGGTCCATTAAGTATCCAACTCTTGATCTCAGCTCAGGTTCGGGGTCATGAGTTCAAGCCCCGCGCTGGGCTCCACACTGGGTGTGGAGCCTACTTAAGAACCAAACAAAAACCATTCTTAGTCCAGGAGCCCTAAAACAGGCAACATGCAGATTTGGCCCCTGGGATGTACTTTACAGACCCCTGTGCTGGGCTTCCAGTTGAGGTCCTGGTGTGCTCAACACGCTCCCTTCCCTCAGTAGGTCATGAATGCTTTTGTCTCATCAGCAGCGTGAGCCTGATGACAACTCTCTGCTTTTCAGAGGTTTTCAGTCTTTGAGCCTCTGCCCTGAGCAATTTCAAAACTCTGCAATTACCTTGATGGGAAAATTGGCCTTGTGTCTGATGACCCTCAAGTCTCCAGTATTGTTATTCCAGCTTCATCAGAAGGCCAAGAGCTCTGCCAGTTTCTGTTCACTAGCAGCAGCCCTGATTCTTGTCCTGCATTCACAACAAGCACATGCTACAGCAAAACCACCTTTTGGTTGCAAATATCAGTTCACGTCTTAAGTCTCCCTTCTCTCGAATCTTAACCCTGAATTCAGTCCTCATTGTTTCAGTAGCTCTCTGATGCTTTTCAGTAGGCAATTTTACATTTCTTTTTTTAAAGATTTTATGTATTTATTTAGTCAACAGAAAGAGACAGCGAGAGAGGTAACACAGGCAGGGGGAGTGGGAGAGGGAGAAGCAGGCTTCCCGCCGAGCCTGGAGCCCGATGCGGGGCTCGATCCCAGGACCCTGGGATCATGACCCCAGCTGAAGGCAGTCGCTTAACCAACTGAGCCAAAGCAAGAGAGATCAGAGAGAGAGAGAGAGAAGCAGACTCGATGCTGAGCAGAAAGCCTGATGTGGGACTCAATCCCAGGACCCTGAGATCATGACCTGAACCCAAGGCAGAAGCTTAACGGACTGAGCCACCCAGGTGCCCTGGCAATTTTACATTTCTATCTGGCTCTTCTCATTGCCCTCAGCAGGAATGCAGGCCTGCTGCAAGGCTACCTGGAAAGCATAAGTCTTGCTTTTCAAATAAGTTAAAAATAGTACCTTAAAGCTAAATACATTCAAATCAACTCACAATGCTCTATTTTTTTCCACTGAAAAAATCTTCCTGAATTATTTTTAAAATGTAAAGGCCAAAAGTACCCTTCAGAGTGGTGCAGGCTAAGATTAATAACCTCCCTTTATCTTGCAATATATATTTTTAAGTTAATTTTTTTAGTAATCCCTAATATTCAACATGGTGCTCAAACTCAAGACCCTGAGATCAAGTCCCAGATACTCTTCCAACCGAGCCAGCCAGGTGCCCCTATCTTGCAACATTTTTTTTTTTTTAAAGATTTTATTCATCCATTTGACAGAGAGAGACAGTGAGAGCAGGAACACAAGCAGGGGGAGTGGGAGAAGGAGAAGCAGGCCTCCCGCCGAGCAGGGAGCCCGATGCAGGACTCGATCCCAGGACTCCAGGATCATGACCTGAGCTGAAGGCAGTCGCTTAACCGACTGAGCCACCCAGGCGCCCTTGCAACATTTTTTAAAAAAAGATTTATTGATTGATTTGAGAGAGAGAGCACGCATACATGCAAGCGGGAAAGGGGCAGAGGGAGAGCCCCAAGCAGACTCCCTGCTGAGCACAGAGCTGGATGCGGGGCTCAATTCCAGGACCCTGAGATCATGACCCCAGCCGAAATCAAGAGTCCGTCACTCAACCAACTGAGCCACCCAGGCACTCCTACCTTGCAACACTTAAAAAACATTTAAATTTTGACTAGATGATATACTCAGTATGACTGAAAATTCAAAAAGTAGAAAAGAACACAGACTGAAAAGTCATTCTTCCCCCCATCTCCCAGCCCCAAGGTTTCTCTCCCTGATGGCAACGTTTATTGCTTCTCTTTCTAGACATTTTATGCAAATATATGTATATATCTTTTCGTATCAGTAAAGTGGTTTTGCTGTTGTTAACTGCTACATAGTATTTCATTGTACCACCATTTATTATCTACTGATGTGACATTAAGGTTGTTACTAAGCTTATTATTATAAACAGTGCCATACAAAAATATTTTATACATGTCATTCTACACACATGTAAAAACAGCTTTAGGAAATTCCTAGAGAGAACTGCCAAATTCAGAATTGGGATTTTAAATTTTCTACTGATACCAACCAACAGATAACAGTGCCTATTTTCCCCACCCTCTTGCCAAGATTTAAACACACATACATACACAAAAGCAAAACAAAAAAACACCATTATCTTAATTAATGTGAAGGGTAGAAAAATGTATAAACATTAGAATAAGAGACATTATGCATCTTTTCACATATTTAAGAGACATTTGTATTTCCTTTCCTGGCAACTATGTTTCTTGGGAACATTTCTAATTTTCCTCTCGAGTTATTAGTCATTTTCATAATGTATCAGTAGATACTTTGCATAAAGGAAATGAGCTCTTTGTGATGAACTGCATCTGCTCCCCACCAACCCTCCTGTCATTTGCCATGTCTTCCAATTTTCCATTACGGTAGTAGTTTTTGTTATGCAGAACTTTTTATTTTTATTATTTTTTATTTTTTAATTTTTTTAAAAGATTTATTTATTTGAGAGAACGAGAATGAGAGAGAGAGAGAGAGAGAGAGAGAGAGAGCACATGAGAGGGGGGAGGGTCAGAGGGAGAAGCAGGCTCCTCGCTGAGCAGGGAGCCCGATGCGGGAACTCGATCCCCAGACTCCAGGATCATGACCTGAGCCGAAGGCAGTCACTTAACGAACTGAGCCACCCAGGTGCCCAGTAATTTTTATTGTTTAATTGTGGTAAAACACATGTAATAGACCATTTTAATTTTTATTATTTTAATTTTCAGATTCTCAACCTCTGCACTGTTCTAGTGCTCCCTGAGAAGTTAAACACTCTCTTATCCCTTCACAAAAATGAGAGGAAAAAGTTGCAATACACTCTAATGACTGACACAAAACATTTATTAGTTTCTAACGAAAAGGCATATAAGGTAGGGCTATCAGAAAAACTAAGAGAGTAATTAAAATTTAAGGTCAGGAAGACTTCTTCACAGACAAATAAGTGGTTAAATGTATAAATCCTATATATGTCACACTATTTTTTTCCCCTTTTTGGTCATGGACTATTCCAGGAAAATTTAATTATACAACTTTTGAGGAGTTCTAACAGTGTCCACCCTAAAATGTTAAGTGAAATTGCTCCTAGAAAAATACTGGTTTGATGAGAAGACAGATTTTAGTGTATTTTGGAGAAATTTGGTTAGTTTCTGACTAGACTTCATTCCAGCACAATCATTACTCAGAGGGCAATCACTTTTTTCTTTTTTGAGAAAGGGCAAACTAAATTTTAAATTAGCATCAGAATTCTACCCATAATTACCCAATCAATATCAAAATAGATGCCATTAAGTATGCAAAGATTAATAGAATTTCAGTTACAAAATTTGGAGGAAAAAAAATCTTAATAATGTACAAAAATATTGACAAATTTAAGCTAGAATTAGCTCTAGAACATTTTATTTTTACTTTAAAAGGATGGACAACTAGAGATCAGCAGAAATGCTGTTAAAACTGCTATTTGCTTAAAGTTGTTTATATTAATGAAAAAAAGATTAATAGTCTCCAAGTTAAATTTCACAAAATGAAATCACTGCCTTCTGATTTAACTTTCAGAGTAAGACGGCAAAACCCAAGCATCAAACTCTCTTTTTCTGTCCATAAACACATATAAAAGTCAGCATCAATACAAATGATAATATAAGGAAATAAACACATGGTTATGTCTCAGGTCCCACAACAAAAGATATTATGATATTTAACTCTCCTACAGTAAAGTCCCATTTTTTTTTTCCTGGAATAGCAGATTAATAGAAATGTGAAATCCCTAAATTTCAGGCAATTTAGTAATTGATTTTGATTTTGACACCAGATACTATGGTGTGAAAAGCTATATAAAACCCAAATGTTTTCCATGTCATTTAGCAAAGAAAGGAGGAGGGAGAACCTTCTACCAAACTTCACCAGCTACTCCATCCCAGGCCCAGTTTCTGATCACTCACTCAGTTCCAACGCTTCCAAATGGTCAACCTGCCCCACAGAGCCGCACCCCAACTCTTAACTCCTTTCGCATCAAGAGCCTAGTTTCCTTTGTGTCAACTGATTCCTAATTTTCCAGGAAACTCTGATTTTTCTGATTTCACATTGATCATAAACCATTTTAAATGGAAGAAAATGCTATAATGGTTAAAATAATTAAAGTGGAGATGAAAACTAGATTACTTTAGTGTTATGGAACATGCATTTCAAGTGCTCTGCAAATATATGGGAAAGTAGCAAGAACACTCACCCTGCCTGGGTTCCTAACTACTCGGTATAGTACCATCTTGCTTTGATTACTAGTTAGGACAAGAAGGGAAGCAAAGGCTGTAAAACACGCATTTTTGGGAAACAGAATGGCACTTGAAGATTTCTTGGGAGTTCACCAAGGCGTTTTTATATCCATAAGGATTGTCAAACTTAGTACATCACAGTTATTAAAAAAGCAAAGGATTGGGACTCCTGCTTACCACTGAGTTTGGCAGAAACACATTTATATAGTCCTCCCTTGTAATCACACAGTCCTTTATAGACGATGAGTGTAACTATTATAAAGAGTCTATGACAGAAAAAAGAGCTTCATAATCCAGTTTTACTAGATTATAAAACACTCCTTCTCCCGATGCATTACTTTGTATATCTCTGAAACATCTGAAAAATACTTTTCTGTGACTTACTAGGCTGTAGGGAACTTTTAGATACATTACAATTATCTCTAGAAGAATTTGGCATCTTTCTCCCATTAACATTAACTGAATGTTTCACCTGGATCTTAAAGGACGGCTGCCAATTTTCATTTTTTGAGCCTCTCCGAGATTTTGAATGCTCTCTATCAGTCTGTTTTTTGAAGTTCCTATCTTTGGAATTCTTCCTCTGTCCATTTAACAATTTGTCTGGAGGTGAAGATGTAGGACGTAAATGATACTCATCTGGGGATCCTTTTTGCCGGTTTGGCTTCTTTTGTTCCTTATCTACTTCTTTCTGAAGCTGTAATGCTAGTAACCTATCCTGTTCTTCTTGTTTATGTCTCTCAAAAAGTAAGCGTTCCAAATCTATCAGTTTTTGGGTAAAGTTGATTTCTGTTTCCTCTTGGTCTGAGGAAGCTTCGGGGAACATTTTCCTTCTTTTTGCAGAAACGCATGGATCCCTGACCACTTCAGACAGAGATTCCGGATTTTTTCTTTTGGAAATATCTTTACTGATCGATAGACAAGACTCTTCATTTTCTGTCTCAACTGTATTACTTCCAATTATCTGTGTCATACCTGATATAGTGCACCCACTCTCTGTTTTGCCATAAGGCTTAACTGCAGCTTCCCCAGAGCAGGGAACTCTGCCTTCAGGTCCCTCATGATTTAGGACACTTAACTCTTTATCATGATTCGTTGGTCTCACTCTGACTTTTCCTTCAAGGCACCATTCACTACCATTGGCACATAACTGAGGCATAGGTGACTCTAAAGACTTTTCACCCTGTTCTTGAATTTCCATGCATATTTGCTGAGAAAGTGTTGGCATGTCTTCCTCAATTTCTGTATCTTGCCATGTAGGGCTCTTTACAACACTACTGTCAGTTTCCTGTAGAAAACAGAAAAAGACTGAGTGAACCACAGGAAAAACATCAAGTCATAATACAGAAGTCTAATATCGTGATACTCTAGCTGAGTTTCACTACAGGATAGCATCACTACTAATAACGCATATTAATTCGTAATAGTATTTTTATTCTGGGTGCCAATTTAGATTAAGGCATTCCTTCATTTTCATTCCCATGAAAACCTACAAATTAAAACCCACAAACTAGATTCTGTGTATGGTCAATAAGCTTTCACCAGGACCTGACCTCTCTTTCACCTTATAAACTTCCTTTAGCCCAGAGGTTTTTAGTCCCTTTTTATGCCACGGACTCTCCACCTTTCAGCATTTTGGTGAAACTTAAGAGACCTCTTCTGAATACTTTAAAATATAAAAATAAATACATGGGATTACAAAAGTAATAATTTATATTGTAACACAATTATATCATTCCTAATGTAATGTGCATCTATTAATACATTAAATACTAAGATCTATTGGGGCAAGTCTAATAACTTGTAATGCTGAAGCAGAATGAGTAACAATGGTATTTCAAGAAACCTGCCACAAACATAACATGATAAAAACCTGTGCTTTCCACTGATGACCAAAGGCACAGCTTTTGCTAACAGTATTATGGTTTGATGTCTACATTCGTAATTAAAGGAACGAGAGGTTAGGTGAAAGTAAAGATAAACCTTTTCCTCCATTTAAGTTCCTATGTACTCTCTGGATTCTAACCATAGTCCAGACCGTAGGTTAAGAACACTTTCTTTAAAAAAAAAAAGAGAAAGAAAGAAGAAAGAAAAAAAGAAAGAAAGAAGAAAAAAAAAAAAAAAAAAAAAAGAAAAAAAAAAAAAAAAAAAAAAGAAGCCTTGCTTTTGCCAGTATGTTTTTCTTTTCACTTATAGGTCTTAGGTAGGTAAAGACCTAGGATTCGTTCTGACCATAGAAAAAAGCGTTAAGAAAGGCTTTGGTGAAAATCTGACTCAGAACAAAAATTATTCCTTGTTGTTAGAGACCTTAAATCTGTTTTGTGTGTTTTTTTTTTAAGATTTTATTTATCTGTGAGAGAGAGAATGAGAGACAGAGAGCATGAGAGGGAGGAGGGTCAGAAGGAGAAGCAGACTCCCCGCCAAGCAGGGAGCCTGATGCGGGACTTGATCCTGGGACTCCAGGATCATGACCTGAGCTGAAGGCAGTCGCTTAACCAACTGAGCCACCCAGGCGCCCTTAAATCTGTTCTTTTACCTACTTTGCTTTGTCTTTATCATTCCTTATAGCATTTCTTATGAACCAGTCCAGTTTGGACTGGATCAGTTCCAGGTTGCTTATGGAGTTTTGCTGTGAATATGAACACGAGGGTAGGACAAATACCCCCACCCTACAAAGCCTCTTCCATCCTCAGTTCTAGTATGAGCCAGACCATCTGGACTTGAATCCTCCTTCCAGCATTTCTACTTAAGGGACTCTGCACAAGTCTCTTATCTGCATGTGCCTTAGTTAATTCTTAACTGTAAAATGGGCACAAGAATGAATACCTTACCTTACAGAGTTGGTGCTTGGAGACTGAAGAAAATCACACATACATTATCTGGCACATGGTAAATGCCAATTAAACGATAGGTTTTAAACTACCTGAGTTTCTAAAAAATTTAGGAACCTCTTAGTAAAGGGTTAACAAAACTTCTCTGTAGGAAATCAACCTTGGTGTCAGCTCCCATTTCCTAGTTCTATTCTCCTGGAAACCTGATAAAAAAACCTCGTAACCTGTGTTACTAAGCCACATAGCTTATGGTAAAAATGATCTTACCGGTGAATTGCATCTATACTAGGAGAACTATGAGTGATCTATTAAGTACCCAATGGGAAACCAAATCTTCGGGCTTCTGTGACTTATAACTCTTCTGACCTGCTGTGTTCCTTCCCAGGACCCCTGGAAACTACACCCAGGGGCTGTTACAATAAATAACTGACTCTTATGGAGCACAGGGCTTCTAAGCCAGGGTGTTTACCACATTCTCTGCATTGTCTCATTTCCAGGCTGTCACTTAGGAGCTCTACAGTGAAGACTTGCTGCACAGATATGCCTGATGCTACCCTACTAGCATGCTTTGTTTCTCATCCTCTAATTTTCCCTTAAACTGAAGTTGGTACCAGGGGTAGCCTATTTGGTTTTGTGAGTTTGATTGTCTAAGCCAGGGATCCACAAACCATGGCCCATGAACCAAATTTAGCCTGCTGCTTGCTTTTATAAATAGTTTTACTTGATCAAAGAGAAGTCTATTAGTTTATGTATTGTCTACAGATGCTTTCACACGAAAACAGCAGAGTTGAATAGTTGTGACAGAGACCACAGGGCCACAAAATATTTAATATCTGGCCCTTTAGAGAAGAAGTTTGTTGACTCCTAGTCTAGGTGAGCCTAAGATGACTAAGAAAGGGTATTCCATATACTAGAGTAACAAAAAAAAAAAAAAGAAAGAAACTACAAGTATTAGCAATCTATAGCATTAGTAAACTTGCCAAACTAAGAACATCTTTAGCATCCACATACCTTAGACGTGGAGTCCTTCCTCCTTTCTTGTACAATTTCATACTGTGATGCTGACCCAAACTGAGATTTAGGTGACAAATACCTTACCCAAAAAAAAAAAAAAAAAAAAAAAGGTTTGCCAAAGTTTGAATGGTTTGACAGACAAGTGGCATGTAACCAACATAATAAGCCAGATTACCTATTTATGTAAAGGTTGTCTGGTCTGCTGTTTGGCTGATTGAACAGAAAGAGTGTATTTTATCTCGTCTCAGGTATTTTGGCCTAATTCCCAAGCAAAACCTAAAAGGCTGAGTACTATATTTTAGTGAAAAACAGCAGAAAAGGAAGTAAAAGTCAAATCTAAATATTTCTTAATTCTCAAAAAAAAAAAATGCAAAAGGTAGATTAGCATCGAAACAACGCAAGACTATAAAGTCTGTCCAAAAGTAATGGAAATGACATTTTAAATCAGGAGAAAGGAGATGTTTCTTTTTAATGCCAGGAATTCTGGCTGTTTACTACATTTTTAATGTCTACCATTGGGAAAGCACTCATAATTAGATTCTCTACCACTCTGGTATATAGATTTTCTTAGATATATATTTTATATCAACTATTTGCCTAGAGAAATACAGATACATCAATACATCAGTGTAAGGGCATCTCTAAACTTCTAAGCATCTCTAATAGGCTGTTTGCCACTGAAAACATGGAAGTTTGTAATATGATGAAAAATGCTGTAAAAAAATGGGAATAAAGGACAGGTTATGAGATGGTAGTAGGTATATTTAAAAAACTGTAAAAAATCTAACACATATATAACTATGCTTAAAAATGGCAGAAATGTCCTAAAATGTTGGCTGCCTTCAAGTGGTGGTAACTTTGGGTGATTTTCAAGGAGTATCTAGCTGTTGTTTTTATAATTAAAGAGAACAACAGAAAAATGTCTGATTGCAAATAATATGTAAAACCGTAAGTTCCACTGTGTCCAAAGTACCAACGAGTAGTATGTGGAAAAATAAAAATCTAGACAAAGATGTCATATAAAGAGCAAAGAACAATATCCCTTATAGATCAGAGTATCTAAACCACGTATTTAGTTGATTCAATCTTAAATACTTACTCTGCAAACTTGTAAGTACAAGAACTACCTTTTCAATTGATAACAGAAAACAGGAGCCCAGGGTTAGTCTCTTTTATTTGTTTTTGAGCACGCACGCACGCACATGTGTACACATGAGGGGAAGGGCAGAGACGGAGGGAGAGAGAAAATCTTAAGCAGGCTCCATGCCCAACACAGAGCCCAACCTGTGGGACATGTGGCTCGATTCCACGACTCTGAGACCATGACCTGAGTCAAATCAAGAGCTGGATGCTTAACCGACTGAGCCACCTAGGCGCACCTAGTCTCATTTTAATTTTGTTTCCCAAAGCTGAAGAATCCCTTCTGCCAAAGTTGGATATTAGTTACCAAAAAAGAATTACTATAGCATAATAGTTTTTTTTTGAAATCCATAAGCAGAGAAAAAGTGACTAGATACTTATTCAACATAATCAGGAAAGATTTATGAACTATCCTGAATATTCTTTATAACTGGGTAATGTATGAATACATGCTCATCCTAAAAAAGGAAACAGAAATATAGGACATATATACCATCATCCCTTTCCATTCCAATTTGCTTCCTCATACGTAACCAATTTTTTAAAAAATATGATTTCTATATAGTACACACTATCTCTTTTTTAAAACAATCATATTCTGTGACTTCCTTTTTTCACTTAAGTCTTAAAGATCTAAGAGAGTATATATCGGTCTACAGCATGAAAACAAATAGTTTACAAGAGAAGAGTTACAAAACATATTTAAGAATCACAATACATTGTGGTTTAGGGAGAGGGATACTGACTGGGAAAGGGCACCAGTGAACCTTTTGAAAATATTCTGTAGCTTAATCTGGAGGATAGTTTATACATAGGTAAAAATTCACCAAAACTACACTTAAGATTAGTGCACTTTAATATATGTATGTTACCATTTTTAAAAGTTTTAAATCTTTATATTACCATAAAAACCCAACACTTATCAATGGTTTAAGTGGGGGGGATCACTGATTTTAAAATCCTTTATGGGGCCTCCTCTTTGTCCCCCACCTCAGAGACAATGACTATCCTGAGTTTTTTCTTACTTTTAAAATAGTTTTACCACACATTTGAATCTCTAAACATGAATTGCTTAGTCCTGCATGATTTTGACCTTTACATACACAGAATCATACATGTATTCTACCAACTTTTTTCATCACCCATTTTCATGATTCATGCATGTTGTCCTCAGCTAGATTCATTTTGACTGTTGGAGAGTATTCGGTTCTACTTGAGGACATCTGGGTGCTTTGGTTCTTTGCTATTATGAATAGCACTGCTGGGAACATTCCTGTCCATACCTTCTAGGGTTTCTTTGGCATCTACACCCCAGAGTCCTAGAGTATCAACCTTTTACATTTCCAACAAATATGTAAGTGCTCCTTATCGTCTATGACACTTAATATTGCCAGAAAGCTTAATTTTTCCAATAGGATGATTTTGAAATGCTACCTCACTGTGATTTTAATTTGTGTTTCCTTAATTACTAATAAGGTTCAATATCTTTTCAAATATATATTAACTTTCAGGTTTCATTTTCTATGAAGTCAAAATTTTTTACCTATTTTTCTACTGATTTTTTTCTTACTCAGAGGTGGGCATTTCTTTAATAGTACATTACCTTTTTTCAGTTAAATACGTTAAAATTTCTTTTTCTTCTTCTTCTTTTTTTTTTTTTTTTGTAAGTAGGTTCCATACCCATCGTGGAGCCCAACATGGGCCTGAACTCACTCATGAGATCAAGACCTGAGCTGAAATCAAGAGTCAGATGCTTAACCTAGTGAATCACCAAGGCGCCCCAAGTTAAAGTATCTTCTTATACATCATTTTATCCTCTAAAGGTATTTTGATAAAAACATTCTTAACCTTATAATCTAATTATTTTTTGCTCTTTAAAATATCCTTCCCCCAGGACACCTGGGTGGCTCAGTCGGTTAAGCGTCTGCCTTCGGCTCAGGTCATGAGCCCAGGGTCCTGGGATCCAGCCCCACATCGGGCTCCCTGCTCCGCGGGAAGCCTGCTTCTCCCTCTGCCTGCCACTCCCCCTGCCTGTGCACGCGCTCGCGCTCTGGCAAATAAATAAAATCTTCCAAAAACAAAATATCCTTCCCCAAAGATAATTTCCTTCATTAACTTTCTAAAGTTTTATAGTTTGTCTTTTTAGTAAGATCTTTCATTCGCCGTAATTGTTATACATAGTACGAGTGGAGACCCGAGCGCATTCTTTCGGCATACAGTCCACCGTCACAGCATTTGACAAACTCATCCTTTCCCCATCGCTCCCAACATGAGCACTGACAACTACTGTACTGGTTACTCAAAATACCCCAAAACTTAGCGGCTTAAAACAACAAACATTATCTCACTGCTACTGAGGGTCAGGAATCCAAGAGCAGCTTAGCTGGGTGGTTCCAGCTCAGGATCTCTCATTAGGGCCTAGTGAAAATGTTGGTCAGTCACCTAAAGGCTTGACTGGGGCTAGAGGATCACCTTCCAAGAAAACACACTCACAAAGGTTATTCTGGAGGTCCCACGTCTTTCCTGGCTGTTGGCAGAAGGCCCCAGTTCCTTATCATGCGGGCCTCTCCCCAGAGCTGCTCACAACACAGGGCAGCTAAAATTCTCCACAGCAAGTAATCCAAAGAGGAAAGTCACAGTGCCTTTTAGAACTTAGTCCCCAACGTACAATGTCTCTGGGTAATTCTATTTGTATACTTAAGTCCAGCCCACGTTCAAGGGGTGGAGAATTGGGCTCTGTCTTTTTAAGGGAGGAGTAGCAAAGAATTTGTGGACATATTTTATGAACACCAAAGCCCTCACGGAGGCGGCATAAATTGCTGTATTTCTAAACTATTACATTGCCTCAATTATTTTGTTTATCCATCCCTGTGCAAATACCACATATATTTACTTGTACATTTTAAAACACCCAACTCTCCACCGCACATTTTATCTCTCTTTGGCAGTATCTGAAAGCCCTTTCTCTTCCACATAAATTTTTAATTCAGTATGTTAAGTTTGAAAAAAGGTTAGGATTGTGGTTTCAATTGCACAGAATCTGTTGCTCAGTTTTGGGAGCTCTGACATTTAGCATTACTGTAATATTAGATATCTTCCAATCCACGAATCCTGCATATTTCTTTAATATGATAAAATTTTTTAATTTTATATAATTTTATATATTAAATTATATTTAATATAATCTATAAGACCTTATAGATTTTGCAGTAAATTTATTTCTAAGCACTTTTTATTTTCTAATGCTATATGTAAACTGAATCTTGTTAATTTCCAACAGACTTTTTGTAGATTTTGCATCCACTAAACTTGCTAAACTCTTAATGGATTTTAAAAATGTATCTCTGACCTCTCAGATTTTCAATGTATTTGCTATATTCCACCTCTAATAACAATGGTTTCTTTTCCAAGCTCATTATCTCGTTTCCTTTTATTGTCTTACTGTGCAGACTGAAATCTCTAGTACAACACTGAACAGAAGTGGTAAATAGCAGGCCACCTTTGTCTTTTCCTTAACAGGAATGATTTCAATTTACTACCGTAAAGTATGATATCTGATATAAATTTCCTAGTAGATATCCTTTAACAGGTAAGTTTCTTCCTATTCCCACTTTATTAAGAATTCTCATTCTCATGCTTTTGATATTTAAATGGTTAATAGTTAATAGGTTAACATTAAATCATGATCTAATATTAAGCCAGCAATGTATTCCTGGAATTGTCATTTTAAATATATTCTTTTTTTTTAATGTTTTATTTATTTATTCATGAGAGCCAGAGACAGAGAGAGAGAGGCAGAGGGAGAAGCAGGCTCCCCACCCAGCAGGGAGCCCGATGTGGAACTCGATCCCAGGACCCCGGGATCATGACCCGAGCCGAAGGCAGACGCTCAACCATCTGAGCCACCCAGGCACCCCATTTTAAATATATTCTTGGGGCACCTGAATGGCTTAGTCAGTTAAGTGTCTGACTCTTGGTTTAGGCTCAGGTCATGATCTCAGGGTCATGAGACAGAGCCTTGCACTGGGCTTTGCACTCAGCTCAGAGTCAGCTTGAGATTCTTTCCCCTCCCTCTCCCTCCCCCTCTGGTTCCTCCCTCTGCTTGTGCACTTGCACTGTCTCCCTCTGTCTCTAAAATAAATAAATAAAGGAAGGAAGACATAAATAATTTATTTTCAGCCTTTCTCCCTTTTTCTTTTTTTTTTTTTAAATATTTTATTTATTGTCAGAGAGAGAGTACAAGCAGGGGGAGCGTCAGGCAGAGGGAGAAGCAGGCCCCCCCGCCGCTGAGCAAGGAGCCTGATGCGGGACTGGATCCCAGGACCCTGGGATCATGACCCAAACCGAAGGCAGACACTTAACTGACTGAGCCACCCAGGTGTCCTGTTTCTCTCTTTTTCTGATATGTCATTTAAGGTTTTCTAAATACCACTTCAGCTACCTTCCAAAAGTTTTGATGTATAATACTTTCAGTTCTATTATTTCCATCAAGATTTCTTTAACCAATGAGTTACGTAGCAGTTTTTCTTAATTTTCAAACACTTGAGTGGTCTTTTTGTTAATCATTTTAAATTTGAGATGAAATCCTATGACACAAAATTAACCATTTTAAAATGTACAATTCAGGGGCGCCTGGGTGGCTCAGTTGTTAAGCGTCTGCCTTCGGCTCAGGTCGTGATCCTAGGGTAATGGGATCGAGCCCCATGTCGGGCTCCCTGCTCAGCGGGAAGCCTGCTTCTCCCTCTCCCACTCCCCCTGCTTGTGTTCCCTCTCTCGCTGTGTCTCTGTCAAATAAATAAATAAAATCTTAAAAAAAAAAATGTACAATTCAGTGGCATCTTAGTATGTTTATGAAGTTGTAAAACCCCATCACCTCTACTCAGTTCCAAAATGTTTTTATCATCCCCAAAGGAAACCATGCATATGTTAAGCAGTAACTCCCCATTCCCACCACTCCCCAGCCACTGGCAACTACAAACCTGCTTTCTGTCTTTATACATGTACCTACTTTTAAATTCATCTGTCCATTTTTGTATTTCTAGTAAATTTTTATCTTTATATATTTCAAAGTATATATTTAGGTACGTGAAGATTCATGACAGTTACATCCTTCAAGCAGAACAATATTACATCAATATGAAATATCTCTGCTTTTCTCTTAATGGTTTTTGATTTCTACTTTGCATAACATCAGCATTAACAATACTGATACTGAGACATCTATTTTTCTCTTTTAATAGCAATCTCCTCATTTAACTGCCCCAACAAATCTCCATCTCCCTGCTCCAAAATGAAAATTTCTATGAGTTTTGGAAGGAGGCAAATTACCTGCACATATTTATTCAACTGAGCCAAAACCCCTTACATATTTTTATTAATTCATTTTTAAAATAGGCTCCACACCCAATGTGGGACTTGAACTCATGACCCTGAGATTAAGAGTTGCATGACCTACCAACTGAGCCAGCCAGCTGCCCCTATTTTTAAACTCGAGATTGTGGTTCTTAAACTTTTCCAACTGTTAATTACTATGGGAAAGCATATAACCTAATAAAATCATCAACTCTACCTGCTCCTGGAGGGGCGTTGTGAGGAGACTAAATTCAAACCACTACTAAATCACTACTGACTACCTGACTCATGTTTTTTGTATAGTAGAGAAGAAATATAGTGCATAAACTGAGAAAAAAAGGGTGGGGGAATGACCTAGATGCCAAGTTATAAACTCTTTTAGTGAGGATGACCTTGTATGGGACTAGCTTTTCTCATGTGAATCTAAACCAAGAGAAAAAGGAATCCAAATGGTTAATTCTGAGAAAATGGGAACGTGAAAATCCTGAGTCATCAAGATAAAAAAAGACTTCAGGGACACCTAGGTGGTTCAGTTGGCTAAGCATCTGATTCCTGATTTTGGCTCAGGTCATGATCTCAGGGTTGTGAGACTGAGCCCTGCGTGAGGCTCCACGCTGGGCACTGGTGCCTGCTTGGGATTCTCTCCCTCTCCCCCTGCCTCCCCTTCCCCACTCTTTCCCCCTCTCTTTTTTTTTTTTTTTAAAGATTTTATTTATTTATTTGAGAGACAGAGAGAATGAGAGAGAAAGCACATGAGATGGGGGGAGGGTCAGAGGGAGAAGCAGACTCCCTGCTGAGCAGGGAGCCCGATGCGGGACTCGATCCAGGGACTCCAGGATCATGACCTGAGCCGAAAGGCAGTCGCTTAACCAACTGAGCCACCCAGGCGCCCTCCCCCTCTCTCTTAAAACAAGACTTCATATCTCTCTTCAGGATAACCAAGCATCTAAGCTAGCATCCTTATTTTCACTTTACATCAATCTGAGACCATCTCAGACCATCTGGAGAGTTTTCATGCAAAGTTCATGGACCAAATTTTAACAATCAGTGGACTATATAAGCAAAAACACCAGCATACAGTAAGTGATCAATAAATAACCTAGGTGGCTCAGTCAGTTAAGCATCTGACTCTTGATTTTGGCTCAGGTCATGATCTCAGGGTTGTGAGATCAAGCCGCACATTGGGCTGCATTCTGGGCATGGAGTCTGCTTAAGATTCTTTCTCTCCCTCTCCCACTGGCCCCCTCCCCAACCCCCTATCTGTGCACACGCTCGTTCTCTCTCTCCCTCTAAATACATACATACCTAAATATTCATGTTCACTTACTTATGAATATCTCCAGTGTTTGTTTGTTTGTTCTTACTTTTCTTCTGAGACTTGGTTGTGACTGTATCAGATTTTCTGGAATTCAAGGGAGAAGCCAAGACACTTCCATCACAGAAATTGTTCTTCAACAGAAAAAGCATAACAGACATTTAAAAAAATTATAATAAAATAGGTTATTATTTTGACTAATTCAGAATCCACAACGGAATTTTTCAGGAATTATGCTCACAATGAAATTCTACACATCCTTTGAATAACACTGACCATGCAAAAATTAGTATAAATAGGATTATGTCCATCCAAGTTGGTCTACATTAATATATTTTTACTTTGCATTATAAAGCACAAAGGGCATGATGATACTAATAATTTTTCTAATGAATGGCTTCATAAAATTATAACTACCTTAATCTATAGGGGAAAATTCAAAGAGTGGTGGATATACCTGGAATAAAAGGTAATTTTCTGTAAAAATAATTTAATTTAGGGATTTAAGAGCATACCAATATCATAAATATTTACTTGCTATCCCAGTCTCACAAGCTTCTCACTACACTACTGGAAAAATTAATATACTTAGTGATGGTAGACATTTGGCCCTGGACCACCAAACTTTCAAGTAAACCCAGAATTCTTCTAAAATATCAATAGATCTACTCTTTTAATCCCTGTTAAAAACAAGAAGGTTTGGAACAAGACTCCTGACAGGTAAAGATGACCCCAAATTCTCCTCTTTGATGTCTTTTCTTACCTATGTCATTTGTTCTTCTATTGATCAATGTCTTTTATTTGATTTCCTGATTGTGTACCTTTTCAAAACTATTCTACTAAAATTTTAAAAAGATATATATATATATTTAAGAGGGCAGGGGTGCCTGGGTGGCTCAGTTGGTTAAGCTTCTGACTTGACTTTGGCTGAGGTCATGATCTCCAGGTCCATGTTAGGCTCTGTGCTGGGCATGGAGCCTGCCTGGGATTCTCTCCCCCCCCCCCCCCGACCAAACTCTCCCTCTAAAAAAAAGGGGGGGCATATAATCTAAAACTTAGGTATACTATTATGAATAGTAGGCCTCTCAAAAAAAAAAATCCCAATTCTGGATATACTTTGTTTGGGTAAGTATATTTTAAGGTATTTGTTGTTTAAAAGCAGAGGAATTGTTTTTAGAGGCTCTCAAACCTCAATGTACACCAGGCTTCCCTAGATGCCTCTGGGAATGGTATTCCCTAAATCCCATCCCCGAGAATCTGATGCAGATTTAGAACAGGTATGGGAATTTGTATTTTAAAAGAACCCCAGGTGATTCTACCAGGTTCTTCCAAATCACTGGGTCCCATTGTACTCTCAAGTCTTAAAGTATGGTTTTATCATCCTTTCTTCTATTCATGTAGTAATTTAACTACAGCAAGATAACAAAATCCAAGTCTAGTGTATTACTTAAAAATTTAATGTGCTTCACTTCCAAAAAGTGATTTGCATCCATACAATGGAATATTATGCCATTCTTAAAAAGAATTAGATAAGACTATATGTATTTACAGGAACAATCTCTAAGATATATCAAGTTTAAAAAGGCAAGGAAAAAACAGTGTGATTGATACATTCTTTTTAGGTGAGTAAGAAAATATAAAATTAGCACTGTTAATAGTGCCAACTTTTGGGGAAAGAGACTAACGTAATGGAACAGGAATGAGAATACAGAAGTGGAAGGGGAGAGAGGAAGCTTTCACTTTGAATAGCTTTCCTACATACTCTGAATTTACTAACATAGAGCAAATATGTAACATGCAAAAATTTTAACAATATGCAAAAAAAAATTTGTTTTAAGTAGAGCAAATATGTCAGAAATTGCTTCTAGTCATGGTGAACCCTTCCTCAGATCTTTGAAAACCACAGAGTCGGGAAGCGCAGCTGGGTTAAGTGGCTGACTTGGTTTCAAGCTCAGGTTGTGATCTCCGTGCTCGGGGTGGGGTCTGTTTGAGATTCTCTCTCCCTCTCCCTCTGCCCCTCCCTCTCATGCTCTCCCTTTAAAATAAGTAAATCCAGAAAGAAAAGAAAGAAAGAAAAGAAAGAAAAGAAAGAAAAGAAAGAAAAGAAAAGAAAAGAAAAGAAAGGAAGGAAGGAAGGAAGGAAGGAAGGAAGGAAGGAAGGAAGGAAAGAAAGAAAGAAAGAAAGAAAGAAAGAAAGAAAGAAAGAAAGAAAGAAAGAAAAGAAAGAAAACCACATAGTCTAAAGCAATAGAACATTAATACTTCAAAGTTCTCTCCTAAAACTTACAATATTAATGCTTAGCTTCCTTGCTAGTTCTTCATCACTTTTCAGTTGTTCTTCCATCTCTCTTCGCCTTTTTTCTGCCTGTTGTTTCTCCTCCTCTTCCTCCTCTGCTAATAATCTCTGTATGTATTCTTCACTGGCTTTGTTTTCTTCTTCCTCACTGGCTCGTCGCTCTGCCTCCACCTTAAAAATGATTAATAAAGAACACTTCTCTGAACTTTTTTAATATACTTGTAATATATATATATTTTTTTAAAGTAGGCCCTATGTCCAGTGTGGATCCCAAAACAGGGCTTAAACTCATGACCCTGACGCCAAGGCCTGAGCTGAGATCAAGAGTCAGACACTTACCCAACTGAGCCTCCCAGGTGACCCTATCTTGCAATATTTTTTTTTTAAGTTTATTTACTTATTTGAGAGAGAGAACAAGCAGTAGGGAGAGGCAAAGGGAGAGAGAGAGAGAGAGAGAGAGAGAGAGAAGCAGATGCTCTGCTGATCAGGACCCCGAGACAGGGCTCGATCCCAGGATGTGGAGATCATGACCTGAGCCGAAGGCAGACGCTTCACCAACTGAGCCACCCAGGCGCCCCTACTTGCAATATTTCTCAAGAAGAATGGTAAAAGTAATAAAAAAGAACAAATTGGCAAGAATTAAAATGTTTCAAATGGAGTACAAATCTGAAGGCAAATTCCTGCCAAACAGTTCAAGATGTCTCTTCAAGGAAGCCTTCCCTAATCAGCCCAATGAAATCTTGATCAAACCACCATCCCTCTTCACCGCAGTCCTACCACACTTTCAACTACACTGTTACAACATTTGTGGAAATGTCTCTAGGTAATATTTTTCCCTGGTTAACTCAATGCTACGTGCTTACTAACTTAGGCCCAGATTTCTGAACCAAACGCTAACAAAGGGGATGGAATGATAAAAACTGAGACTAATCAGGGTTTAACCCTGCAGTTAGGAAAAATCCCTCAGACCTAGTTGGCAGGAGTGGAGTGGCTGCTGAAGCAGCAACCACGATGGTGATTACGTGATTTACAGATGAGGAAACAGACACAGAAAAGCAAGTAACTTTCTTAGATCATTAAGTGGCAGAGTGGAGACTCAAACTCAAATTCTAAGACTTAAGGCCATGCTCGTGGTCATTTAAACTATACTTCCTGAAAGAAATAATACAAGAACTATTTCAGAAATCCAAAGAATTTGACTCAAGAATTAAGTCCTTGATCCAGTTCAAGTGTAGGAGACATAAGGGAAAGTTTGTTAAAGACAAAGTTTTCTTGCTCATAAAAGAAAGTCATAGGAAAAGACTGCTGTTCCCTCCTCTGCCTGTTGTATATGCACCTGAGGTTCAAAACTGTGCAGCCATTTTGCTATTAGCCTGAACTTAAAGTACCTGATAGAAGTTAGCAAAGAAATGGAGCTAGAGCTCTGAATGAACCCAACCCTGAAGCCCCTACTACCTTTGGAATTCCAGTTAATTACAATGTTCTTATTTAAGGTAGTTTAAGTTGGGTTTTCTTTTACTTCTAGCCAAAAGCATCTTTATAGAACCTGTTCTCACTACACTGTTTTAAGGACTAGATTATTCCTTCAAAACCCTTACTTAAGGGACGCCCTGGGTGGCTCAGTCGGTTGGGCGTCTGCCTTCGACTCAGGTCATGATCCCAGGGTCCTGGGATGGAGTCCTGCATCAGGCTCCTTGCTAGACAAAGGAGCCCGCTTCTCCCTCTGCCTGCAGCTCCCCCTGCTTGTGCTCTCTCACTCTCTCTGACAAATAATCAATCTTAAAAAAACCCTTACTTAAGGGGGCACCTGGGTGGTGAAGTCAGTTAACCATCCAACTATTGGTTTCAGCTCAGGTTGTGATCTCAGGGTTGTGAGCTTGAGCCCCATGTCAGGCTCCAAGCTCAGTGTGGACTCTGCTTGAGATTCTTTCTCCCTCTCCCTCTGCCCTTCCTGCTCATGCTCTCTCTCTCTCAAATAAGTAAATCTTTAAAAAAATAAAATAAAACCCTTACTTAAGGACACTGCTTAGACCATATGTTGACAATTAAGTTAACCATCATAACTATTTTTTAAGATTTTATTTATTAGAGAGAGAGAGAGAGAGCACAGCGGGGCGAAGAGTAGAGGGAGAGGGAGAAGCAGACTCCCCACTGATCAGGGAGCCCGATGCGGGACTTGATCCCAATACTCCGGGATCATGACCTGAACCAAAGGCAGACGCTTAACCAACTGAGCCACCAGGTGCCCCAGCCATCATAATTATTATTTTAGGTCTTCTGGAACTTGCATGGTCCAATACAGTAGCCATTAGTAGCTACACTAGCAACAGGTAGCTATTGAGTAGTTGAAATGTGACTAGTCCAAATTTATGTAGTGTAAGTACAAAATACACAAAAGGTTTTAAAGACCAAGTAAGAAAAAATAATGTAAAACCTTTAGATGTTTATACTTTAGACGCTCTTCTATAAACATCACTCCTCTCTTTTCCCATTAGGTCCTTCACAATTAGCCCTTCATGCTCTCCTCATCTACACTCATTATTTGTGTCCCCCAAAATTCATATGCCTAATCCCCGATGTGACAGTATGTGGAGGTAAGGGCCTTTGGGAGGTAACTGGGTTATAAGGGTGAAGCCCCTATGAAAGGGATTAACATCCTTATAAAGAAGAAACAGAGAAATAATCTTTCTCGGCCTTATGTGAGGACATAACGAATAGGCAGCTGTCTACAAGCCAGGAAGCAGGCCATCATCCAACAGCAGATCTGCCTGTGCCTCAATCTTGTACTTTCCAGATCCAGAACTGTGAGAAACAAATGTTTTTTGTTTAAGCCAACCAGTTTATGGTATTTTTGTTATAGCAGCCCCAATAGAATAAAACACCCACAATCTACCACCCTTTTTCCATCCTTTAAGCTCAAAGCTTCAGGGAAATGAAAAAAATCTTTCATAATTAAATGCTTAAGAATCACTATCAAAACTAACTCAATAAAAAATTCACAAGCTAGCAAGATATAAAATTAATAAGCAAAACTCAATTACATCCATATACAGAAATAATAACCAGTTAGTAGTTTTAACAGTTGAGAAGACAAAAATGGTGTAGAAAAATTGGCAAAAGACATGGACAATTCACCGTGCAAAAATTATAAAAATGTCCCTTAATTATATGAAAATATAATTTTCCTCATAATAAGAAAAATACCAAGTAAATCTACACAGAGATAGGACTTCCAGCTTCTAGTAATGCTGGAGTAAAACACTGGTGGAAGACATCTTCCAACAGAATACAATTTTAAAACCTGGACATTATATAATAAGCAACTACCAAAGGAATTGGAGAGTGAACATAATCAGACAAACTGCTCCTCCTGGTTTTAAGCCTGGAGCTAACATAACCTAACACCCATGGAGGAAACTGACCCAGACTTAGGGTCACTTGATATTCTAAAAGGTTCACAGACAATTTACTGGGGAAAAGATGCTCGTTACAATACATGGGGGTAGAATAAGGGAATATTTGTATGAGGAAAAAAAAAATCAATCTCAACTCCTACCTCATGTCATACTCAAAAACTAACTGAATGGATTATAGATCTAAACACAAGAACTAAAACAAATTTTGGAAGAAACTTTTGTGACCTTGGGTTAAACAAAGTTATCAAACTGTATACCGGGCGCCTGGGTGGCTCAGCTGGTTGGGCGACTGCCTTCGGTTCGGGTCATGAACCTGGAGTCCTGGGATCGGGTCCCACATTGGGCTCCTGGCTCAGCGAGGAGCCTGCTTCTCCCTCTGACCCTCTCCCCTCTCATGCTGTTTCTCTCTCTCTCTCAAATAAATAAATAAAATCGTTAACAAAATTTTTCTTTAAAAACACTGTGTACCTAAAATTAGTAAATTTTCCTATATTGAAATTTACTATAAATTCTACCTCAACAAAGTATTTTTTTAAAAGAAAAACTATGCCAATACCACTTCTCACCCATCAGATTAGCAAAAATTTAAAAGCCTGACAGTACTCTGTTGGCAAGGGTATTTTGAAACAGGCATTCTCATTGAAAATGCAAAATGGTACCCCTATAAAGGAGAATCTGGCAGTTCTAACAAATCTACATGTCATTTACCCGAAACCTGGCAATCTCATGTCTAGAAATTTACCCTGAAGATCTATATGCACAGTATTGCAGTATTATCTGTAATTAGAAAATACTATCTTACTCCCTCTTGAATAATATGGAGTGATTTCCAGGGGATATTACCAAGTAAAAAAAACAAAGTTCAAAAGAATATATAGTATGCAATATTCAATAAACAAGAACAGTTATATATCTATTTATCTTTACAAAAAACACCAAAGGAAGGATAAACTACACAGTGATAAAATTAGTTATCTACAGTGTGGTGGACACAGGGTGGATAAGATACAGGAAGGAGTATCCACTCTGAGAATAACTTTTCATGTTATTTTTACTTTGGGGTGCATGTTAATATTCTATACATTTAAAAAATATACAAATAAATTAATAAAGATGGGAAGGGAAAATGAAAAAAAATCCATCACATAAGAGCACAAATTATATATAAATAAATCTAGTAACTACTGTGAACATATGTAAAAAACAGAGCCTTTGTAAAGTACATTAAAATTTATATTTCAATATATATTATTTACATAGGCATATATGGGGCACCTGGGTGCTCAGTCAGTTAAACGATTTTGGCTCAGGTCATGATCTAAGGGTTATGGGATCAAGCCCCTCAGGGGCACCACACTGAGTGCTGAGCATGGAACCTGTTTAAGAGTCTCTCTCTTTCCCTCTGCCCCTTCCCCCACTGTGGCACATGCATACACTGTCTCCAAAAATGAGTAAGATATATATATTTTTTTAATTTTATTTATTTTTGACAGAGAGAGAGCACAAGCAGAGGAAGCAGCCCGCAGAGGCAGAGGCAGAGGGAGAAGCAGGCTCTCCGCTGAGCAGGGAGCCCGATGCAGGGCTCGATCCCAGGACCCTGAGATCATGACCTGAGCCGAAGGCAGACGCTTAACCGTCTGAGCCACCCAGGTGCCCCAAATGAATAAGATTTTTTTTTAAGCAAACACAAAACTGTATGTAAAATCTGAACCTGAAAACACAAGAGAATTCTTCCAAAAAAGAATAACTACTTAGTACCTACCTTGCTTATCTCCTCCTCATATTCTCTTCTCAATTCCCCGGGTCTACTTAATAAGCGAACTGGCTGATAGTCATCAACTGTTTCAGATCAAGAAAGAAAATAATATTATAGGCAACACAGAAGTTTATGGCTAGCTTTGATTTTTCATTAAACCTGTATTAATATGAAAACGTGAAATCAGAATAAATGTACAATTATTAAGAGCTATAGCAATACCTTCTCTGTGGAGTGCCATTTTATTTTTTTCTAAAGGTTTTATTTTTAAAATAATTTTAAGTAATTCTACACCCAACCTATAGCTCAAACTTACAACCCCGAGATCAAGAGTCACATGTTCTATTGACTGTGCCAGCCATGAGCCCCTATGAAATTCCACTTTATTTTATTTTTTAAAAGATTTATTTATTTGAGAGAGCGAGCACGCACACTAGTGGGAGAGGGGCAGAGGGAGAAGATGACTCTCCCCTCAGCAGGGAGCCCAACAAGGGGCTCGATCCCAGGACCCCGGGATCATGACCTGAGCCGAAGGCAGACACTTAACCAACTGAGCCAGCCAGGCACTCCTGGACTTTCATTTTAAAAGAAAGTCCAGGGGTGCCTGGCTAGCTCAGTCAGTCGAGTGTGTAACTCTTGATGTTGGGGTCGTTTTTTTTTTTTTTTTTTAAGGTTTTATTTATCTATTCATGAGAGAGAGAGAGAGAGAGAGATGCAGAGGGAGAAACAGGCTCCCTGCTCTGCAGGACCCTGCCCCAGGACCCTGGGATTACGACCTGAGCTGAAGCCAGTCACTCAACCAACTGAGCCACCCAGGCGCCTTGGAGTCGTGAGTTTGAGCCCCATGTTGGGTGTAGAGATTATAAACTTTAAAAAAAAAAGAAAGTCCAGAGTTTTTCTGGTTCACAATGGCACATGAATACATATACTTAACTCTTGTTCTAGAATCTATTAAAATAACAGTATTAAAGGCATTTTTATTTTTTTTATTTTTTTTTTTAAAGATTTTATTTATTTATTCATGAGAGACAGAGAGAGAGAGAGGCAGAGGGAGAAGCAGGCTCCCAAGGAGCAGGGAGCCCGATGCGGGACTCGATCCCCGGACCCTGGGATCATGACCTGAGCCGAAGGCAGACGCCCAACCATCTGAGCCACCCAGGCGCCCTTAAAGGCATTTTTAAAAAGTAATCTTACAACAGCAAAGAGATTAGGGAAGGGTCAATCAGTAAACAGAAAACTTTAACAAATTTCTAGAAAATGGGACGGTGATGTAAAAGAGACGACTTATACATCAGAATGAAGAAAAATGCATCCTTTGGAAAGGAAGGTAAGTCAGGAGGAGATCTGCCCCATATACTGGAAGAGCAGCTCAGACTCAAAAACACAAGGCACAACAGAGACCACAGTGAATAAATGTGGGACAGGGAATTAAAGTTCATGATCTGTTAAATCAGAATACTTAGCTGGTAGGCGTTTCTTCCTAGATGTGTGTATAAGTGTATATATGCACACTCAAAAGTAATTTTTAAAGTTTTATTTATGTATTTATTTGAGAGAGAGCATGAGCACTTGCGTGAGCAGGGGACGAGGAAAGGGAGAGAAGCAGATTCCCCGCTGAGTGTGGAGCCTGACCAGGGGCTGAATCCCACAACCTGAGATCATGACCTGAGCAGAAATCAAGAATCAGATGTTCAACCCACTGAGTCACCCAGGAGCCCCTCAAAAGTTATTTTTTAAAGAAACTGAATTACCTGGACAGAGCCAATAGAGCTAATATGAGAGGTGGTGACCCAGAGCAAAGCCCTCTAAAATGTGGCACTTATGGTGGCAAAGCATAATGGCCAAGCATAACCTCAAACAATGTCTGCCAGTCACCACTGCCAATATACATACAAGGAGCATTATTCTAGGCCCTCATTTTTATTTATTTTTTTGAAGGGCCTCATTTTTAAATGTGAAAGTAAAACCAAGGATCATCGGACATTTCAAACGAATCTACAGGATTAAAGAAACACTAAGCCACAAAGAGGGGGAAAAAATCATCTCGAGTTAAATCTAGAAAAAGAGAACACAACTGCTCTTTTACCGGGGCAGCTGCTACTCAACTCCAGCTGACTACTGCCACCGGGAAACTGGGGTCATCCTTGCCATATTTTCTGATTTTTCCAAAACAATCCGGAAATCCATATTTTAAAGTGAAATCTCCCAATTTTAAATGTTGGCACTGAATGGGTCACATAACACATGTCTGCAGGCTTTACATGGCTTGCAGACCAGCAGTTTGCAAATTTGTAGAACTAAAAACAGTAATGTAACTGCGTAACAGGTAGCAATGAAGTATGCCAAATTCTTATTTTAGCTGTCGAGAAGGATTCATTTGAGGCAATACAGTGGGAAATACAGGAGAGAAAAGTATAAGTCTCCTGAAAAAAACAGTAGGGGCTAGAAATGAAGCCCAGGAAGACAGGGAGGGACAGCGGCACTTCACTGATAGCACTTCAAAAAAAGGGTATGTGTAGAGGTAGTGTAATATCGCATGTGAGAGCTCAGGGGGCGGCAAATTTTTCCCATAAAGGGCAAGATAATAAATATTTTATGCTTTGTGGGCAATGTAGTCTTTGTTGCAGTGACTCAACTCCTGCCACTGTAAGCACAAAACCAGCCATTGGTATAGATGAGTGCCTCTGTTCCAGTAACACTTCCTTTACAAAAAAATATGCAGGCCAAACTTGGCCTGACTTGATTTCGGCTCAGGTCATGATCTCAGTGTCATGAGGCTGAACCCTATATGATATCAAACATCACAAAATTAAAAACAAACAACAAACTGGGAGGAGTTATTTGCAAATACATAAATCAATAGAGAATTAAATTAAATTTTCCCACTGTACTTAATATTGCTGTCTTATAGTGAGTGTTCTTCCTGAGCAGCCAAGATTCACTAAAGGAATTTTATCCTCATACTCTTTTATTCTGAAAGAAAAATCCAAGTTAATCAAAGAACTGAATGTTCAAAACTGGACCAAAACCAAAAATCACAATAAACCTAACTTGAACAATTAAGTCGTTTATAAAATTACTTTTATCATTCAATTTGACTCTGCTTGCATCATCATGGAAATAAAGTTTTCTTCTCCCAATTAAATTTGTTCATCTAATCTTCCCCTAAAACCTGTAGGGTTCCTTGATTCTTCTTAGTTTCTGGTGATTTACCAGCAATCTTTGTATTCATTGGCTTATAGATGAATCACTCAAACCCTCTGTCTTCACACAGTGTTCCCACTGTGGGTTTTCATATCATCCTCCTTCTGTGTGTGTCTGTCTCTGTTCATATGCCCCCTCCTTTTTTTTTAAGATTTTATTTATTTGACAGAGAGAGAGAGACAGTGAGAGAGGGAACACAAGCAGGGGAAGTGGGAGAGGGAGAAGCAGGGTTCCCGCTGAGCAGGGAGCCCAACGCGGGGCCTGATCCCAGGACCCCGGGGCCACGACCCGAGCTGAAGGTAGACGCCCAATAACTGAGCCACCCAGGCGCCCCTCAAATTTCCCCTTTTAATGAGGACACCAGTCATAATGGATTAGGGCCCACAATGCTAATGACCTAAACTTGACTACCTCTGTAAAGATCCTATTTCCAAATATGGTCTGAAGCATTAGAGGCTAGACTTCAACATATCTTTTTAAGAAAGCACAATTCAACATTTAACAACGTGTAACTGGTCCTTACCAAAAAACTATAAAATATTACTGAGAGAAATTGAAGACCTAAATGAATGGAGAGAGAGCCTATTTTCACAGGTACAAAGGTTCTATGTTGTTACAATGTCAATTTTCCCCAAATTGATCTAAAGATTCAACACAACCCAAATCAACCCCTACTATGCTTTTGCTAGAAAATGACAGGTTGATGAAAAAAATCTACATGAAAATAGAAAGGACCTAGAATACCCAAAACAAACATGAAAAATAATAATAAAGTTGGAGAGCTATTACTATGTGACTTCAAGGCTTTCTATAAAGCCACAGCAATCAACAGTGTGATTTTAACATTAAAATCAACAAATCAATGGAATAGAATAGACCCACGCTGTATAAGAAAAGCCATTTCAATAAAGGTACAGGGATAAGTGATATTCATATAGGAAAAAATTAACCTCAACCCCTATCTCACACAATATTCAAAAAATTTGAAGTGGACCATAAACGTAAACGAAAGCTAAAACTTTATAAAGCTTTTAGAAAAAAACGTAGAAATACTTTTTTCAAAGATTTATTTACTCGAAAGAGAGAGAGTGCAGGTGTGTGCAGGGCGGGGGGGTAGGGGATGGGAAGAGGGAGAGAGAATCCCAAGCAGACTCCCTGCTGAGCCCAGAGCCCGATGTGGGGCCCAATCCTATGACCCATGAGATCATGACCTGAGCCAAAACCAAGAGCTGGATGCTTAACTGACTGAGCCCCCAGGTGCCCCAGAAATATTTTAATATTATTACAGAGGATAAAGTTTTTTAGGACACAGAAAGTAATAACCATAAAAGGAAAAGTTTATTAATTAGACTTCATGAAAATTAAAAATTTCAGCTCGGGGAGTCTGGGTGGCTCAGTCGTTAAGCATCTGCCTGGGATAGAGCCCCACATCGGGCTCCCTGCTTTGGCGGGAAGCCTGCTTCTCCCTCTCCCACCCCCCTGCTTGTGTTCCCTCTCTCGCTGTGTCTCTCTCTGTCAAATAAATAAATAAAATCTTTAAAAATAAATAAATAAAATAAAAAATAAAAATTTCAGCTCAAGAGACTACCTGGCTGGCTCAGTCAGTGGAGCATGAGACTCTTGATCCTGAGGCTGTGAGTTTGAGCCCCATGTTGGGTGTAGAGATTACTTAAAGAAAAAAAAAAAGATCTTGAAAAAAATTTTCAGCTCATCAAGACACCATTAAGAAAATAAGCACAATAAATAAATAAATAAAATCTTTAAAAAATAGTAACACACAGAGATAACTCAAAAAGCAAAAGATTCAGACACTTCATAATGGAAGATACATAAATGATTCAACATCATCAGTCACCAGGAAATGCAAATTAAAAGTACA